AACAACAACAACAAGAGTCTGTCAATTCTTGGAGGCTTGTTTTTCATCAATACCTTCAGTGTAACTTGGACTTTCCTCTTCAATATTATCAGTTGTTCATCATATCTTAAAAAAAAAAAACAAACCTCCCCAGAATTCATTGCCATCGAGTCAGAACTGGCTCAGAGCTGACCCGCTAGCAGTTTTCAGAGGCTTTAAAGCACATGGGAGGAGATGGTCCATCTTTCTTCCTTGGAGCAGCTGGTGGATTTGAACACAGTGCCTTTAGGTTGGCAACACAATGCCTTATCCTTAGGCGACCAGTGCTCATATATTGCCTCCTAAAATGGTGTTGTTCAATTCTTTTTGTTACAATGACTATATTCCTTCTATCTTCTTGTGATATTTCCTGTCATTTAATATTTTGAGCCTAGAATCTTTCAATATTGTATTCCCGGCTTAACTTTTTGCTTCAGTTCTTTCCATTTGGTTTTCTCATTCCAAGTCTCTGCACATTTCATTTTAATACCTTTGTTGGACCTTTCCTCTGAAATCTTGTGTTCGGTTCTTTTACTATTTCATTACCTCTTCCATTTGCTTTAGTTACTCTGCATTCAAGAGCAAGCTTCACTCCTGCAGATCTTTGTATATTGACAAGTAAACAGTGGTTCACTGTAGTGCTGTGTGCGTCAGGGTAGGACTTCCCCTCCATACAGTTAATCAAGGCTTTATTTTGGAAGCAGATTGCCGGACCATCTGCTGAGATGTCTCAGGGTGGCTTTGAACTGCCAACCTGTCAGCTAGTAATAAGTAGAGTGCTTAGTGTTTCCATTTCACCTATTGCCTGAGACCGGGTTTCCATGCATACACTCCCCAACAGCTGTGTTTATCTAAGCTTAGTAACCCCTATCCCAGAGCCCAGCCAGTGCTGCCTGCGCCCCTGCAGCTGCTGTTGGACAGCTGTTGTGGATGCCCTGAGATTTCCTTGTCCTATGACAGTTCAGGATCAAAGAGAGTTAGCAGATGGCAATGAGCTGGCCACAGCACCCACTGACCAGTCTGGACACAGAGAGGAGCCCATGTGCCTGGAGGAGACAGAGGCGTGAAAGGCCCTGGGGAAGTCAGTGGGTAGTCAGTTCAGAGACAGAACACCTGCCCTACCACCCTTCCAAGCATGATGTCTCATTCCAAGGACTGGTCCTTCCTTGCAAAGTATGTTAGATGAAGCTTCAGAATCCTTGCCTCCAAGGAGCAGCCTGGTTTCACCTTTTCTAGGACAATCCTGTTTGTTTTCCTAGCGGTAGGTTTTTATGTATGTATGTATGTATGTATGTATGTATGTATGTATGTATGTATGTATGTATTTATTTATTTTTAACGTTCCTATGGACGTGTTTTCCTAAGGAGCCACACAAACCAGAGTAGCATCAGTAGTGGGATAAAACATGCAAGCTGTCATCACATCAGCTCCAACCACTGGGAACACGTGTGTGTCAGAGTTGACTGTGCTCCTGAGGATTTTCAGTGGCCAGGTTTCCAGAAGAGCCATGCCTTTCTTACAAGGCATCTCTCTGTGGGCATGAATCAACATCTTGGTTAAGGGCCAAGCATGTTAATTCTTTGCATAATCCTGAACTCTGAGAAGAAGTGTATGGGCAGTGTTAGAGAGATAGACTTCTCTTAGCTCCCTTGGGGGTCCCACCTGGGTGAATATAGGAAGGGTGAGGTCGTTCATACTGGTATCTGGTGAGCACAGCTGGTGTTAAGTTCCTGGAATAAAATATTTGCCTTGTGGGTTTTCATTTCCCAGGTCAGGTTGACTGTTGTCAGGGTGGTGTTTGCCAGTGACTTTCCCAGTCATTCTAGATCTACAGAGTATTGTTTCTGATTCTTCTCTCTCTCTGTCTCTCAATGTGTGTGTCTGAGCGTGTGCCTGCAAAGAAGGAGCGTCACAGAGCACTTGAGACCGGGGAGAGGGTTGTAGGTCCCCCTGGTTAATCCCATTCAGTCAGAGAACTAGCCAGTTGGACATCGTGGAAGTAGCCGTGTCCTGGGACGGTATCTGGTAACCTCTGTGTCTGGTTGCAGGTAGCATCGAGTACAGCTGCCCAGCCACCAATGAATGTGAGATCACGAAACGGAGGCGCAAGTCCTGCCAGGCCTGTCGCTTCATGAAATGCCTCAAAGTGGGGATGCTGAAGGAAGGTAAGAAGCTCCCAACCCACCGAGGCTTCAGAGAGAACCCGGGACCTGGCCTTCAGGGAGGGGCCTGGGGCCTGGACCTGCTCTCATTTGGTAGTGTCAGATGTGACAGAATTCAAGGTGAGTTGTGGGCCTGTTTCCAGGACAGTGTATGCATGCCAGCTCCATGGGTTACAGACCCTTGGAGACCACCCATAGGATACTGCCCCCTGGTGACCACCTTCTACACAATCTACTTACTCTAGGATCTGATTTGGAGCTCATTAACTCCACCCTTTTTCCTCCTAGACAGACAGTATAAGGCAGGCAAGTGTGCAAAGTTCTTCAGTAAGGATCTTGAGGACCGATCTGAGTCCATGGTGCGCACACACACACACACACACAAAAAAAAAAGAAAGAAAAAAGAGGAAGGATCTTGGGGAACTGTCTCAAGACCTTCTACTTGTGACCAAGCACGTTCACTTGCTATTTATTCCAGGAAGACTTTCCTTCTAGGCCAAAGGCTCCTTTGTCTTGTAATTTTATCCCCTGGCACCTACCTGTATGGTTTTGGGTGAAAGGATATCAAGATCCATTAAGGCCCATATCAAGAAACATTAAGGCCCAGAGAAGTCAATAACTAAGTCTTTTTAAGAATTGTAATTTGAATGGAAGTGTGTAAGTCACACTGGGTTTTTACATTCAATGATTCATTTCTATTTTGCTTTATAACATAAATTATAATTAATTAATTATAATATCTGGTCAACCCCTTATTATATATTGTCTTTCCCTCTGCTCAACTTAATAAGTTGTCTACTGTCTATTCACTTTTACTCTTCTGTCTCCCTCCCCTCCCTTATGTCCATTCAAGAATGATTCTATCTGTGTGATGATTCTATCATTTCTTGGGTTTTTATACTTGTGGTCTTGTTATGGTATGCATAATCTTCTGGGTGGTTTACAGACTCTGAAAACCCATTAGGCTCTGCTATGAGTTGGATCCAACTCGTAGAACTCCAGTCAACGAGAATGAGTACCTCACAAGGCGTAATTTCCTCTAGATTTCCTCATTTTGCCTGGTGTTTAATGAATTCTTTATCATTCTTTGTTGTTACATAATACCCAAATGTACCCTAGTTTCTTCAACCATTCATCCATGGACACTTGCATTTTTGTCTCTTTGCTAGTCTAGGTCATGCTTTAATAAATATGAGTGTGCAAGTACCAACTTGTGTTGCCAGTTTTTATCTCCTTAGGATATATACCTGATAGTGGAATGGCTTGCTCAAATGGTATTTCTATTCCTGACTTTCTAAGGAAGCACCTCTGCTTTCCATAGTGATTGTACCATTGTACACTCCTACCAGCAGGATATGAACATTTCATTCTCTCCACACTCTCACTAGCATTTATTGTTTACTGTCATATTGAACGTCACTTGCTAGTTCTTGCTAGTGTTAGATGATAAGACAAAGGGCTGGAGTCAGAGAATAAAAAGGGAAGAACACACTCAGCATTTCTCAAGCTGAAAGAACTGAACAACAAATTTAAGCCTCTAGTTGCAGTACTGAAATATGCCAAGGGCAAAAACTTGAATGATTCAAGAAGCATTAAAAGAAGATGGCAGGAATATACAGGCTCACTGAACCAAAAAGAACTGATCAATACTGTGAAAAAATTCAGGAATCCTCATATAAATAAGAGCCAGTAGTAAAGAAGGAAGAAGTTCAAGCTTCATTGAAGACACTGGCAAATTATAAGGCCCAGGAATAGATGGGATATTGCTTGATATTTTTCAACTAACAAATTCAACCGTGGTGTGCCAGGAAATTTGGAGGATATCTGGCCAACTGATCAACTTGAAGAGATCCATACTTGTTTCCATTCCCAAGAAAAAGTTTTGAACAGAGTGTGGAAGTTATTGAATAATATAATGAACATTTGTATGCAAGCAAAATATTGCTGAAGATCATCCAAAAATGACTGGAACAGTACATTGGCAGGGAACTTTCAGCCGGATTTAGAAGAAGCCATGGCACCAGGGACATCATTGCTGATGTCAGATGGATCCTGGCTGAAAGCAGAGAATGTCAGAAGAATGACTTATCTGTGTTTTATTGACTATGCAAAGGCAGTTGACTGTATGGATCATAAAAAACTATGTCTAACTGAGAAGAGTGGGAATCCGAGAATGATCTTGAGCATTTCTTCATTTATTTGTTGTTGGTCATCTTAATGTCTTCTTTGGTGAACTATCTTTTCATGTTCTCTGCTCATTGTCTAACTGGATTGTTGGTCTTTTGGAAGTGTTGGGGTTTTCTATAAATTTTCGAGAGAAATCCCTTGTCAGATAATGCCATTGCCAGATTTCCCTGCCCAGTTTGTAGTTTCTCTTTTCACTCTTTTGTGTAGGTCTTTAGAAATTTTTGGAAAGTCTCAGTCCTCGTTTATGTTTTACTGATCATGTGTTTTCAATTCTATTTGATGTCTATTTATGTCATATGAAGGCCCTTCATCTGGCCCCATACCATCCTCTCTGTGGGCTCCTGGGAAGCCATGAGTTCCTTAAGTCTGGGAGAGACTTCTTCCTCTTAGGTCTATGAGATCAGAGTGGCCCCTGGTTCTGGGAGCTGGGCTGTGAGCATACTGGGTCAGGGCTGGGGGCCAGCCAGCTAATGGCCTTTCCTGGTAGTCAGTGACTTCTCTTTGCTTACCTTTACAGTCAGTGTCTGAGGAACTTAAGAAGGAAGGAATTGTCACTGGCCATCAGCACACCCTCAATGTTAAGAGCTGAGGCCTAGAAGGCTGGGGTCAGGTAGCATGCCTTCTCTCAGTCACGTATTGGTGTGAGTTGAGCTGGACACAGTGACTTGAGTTTCTGGAGCTTCTGGTGCTATGACAGTCCCTTCAGAGCTCAGAGTATTCATTCTCCACAACTGGGGAGTCCAGGATGAGGCAGACCCTGGGCCCCAAACCTCCCCCTGCAAGTGAGCTTGGGAGCAGAAGGAAGAAGTGGAAAAGCAAAGATGGCAGAAAGGGACTGTCTCTAAAAGCCCTGAACCTTCTTTCAACACTGAAAGGAGAGACTCTTAGGGAGCGTCTAGTACTGGGACAGGTGTGTCAGATAGTAAGCTTGGCTGAGGATAGGGCAGGGTTTGATAGGGTTGCCATGAGTCATAGGACACATAACAACATCAACAACAACAACAAAGTATTAGGAATGGAGTGGGAGTGCTTTCTGTGATCCCAAGTGGGGCAGTATAGCTGGGGAACATACTGTGACAGAGAATTTGGTGGCCAAGGGCATCAGAGCCTCAGGCCCAGGCTGGCCAGCTTTAAGCGAGGTGAGCTCCTCCATGCAGTGTCCTAGGCTGATGGTGTGGGGCTGCCTCGAGCGTGAAGGACGGGGAGGGTTAGGCCCCACTGTGGACCCTGGATGCCCCCGACTAGCCTCCTCTGTAAGGAGCCCTGTGGTTGCTCACTTGAGGCTTGGCAGGCCTCTAACTTGGGTGGAAGGCTGGGGGGTGCAGCTGTTCTGGAGTCAGGTGATGCTAAGGTGAATTTGCCCTTCTTTGTGTGGCCCAGCTAAGAGGTTCAGACTGGAGGAGGAAGGGGTGGTCACCGCCCCAGCACATGCTGGCAGCTCTAAATCCAGAGGGGAAAGATGACACAAAGGCTCCAGTGAGGACAAAGCAGAGCTCCGTTTTGTTTCTGTCCCCCACGGAACCCCAGGCGAGATCCTGGGATCTGAGGCTCCAGGGGGACCGGCCTTCGAGAGGCACGTACCTCATTCAGGAGCCTGGGTCCCTGCCAGCTGGGGGTTGTTGGCAGCAACTGTGGCTCCTGCTTTTGTTTGGCTCCTCAGCTTGGGGGGCCCACACCCCAGGGACCAGTGTGGGCTCCATGCCTGCCTCCCATTCTCCTTCCTCAGTTCTTACAGAACTCTGAAAGGAAAACTTCACCCTCCTGCCATCCTGTTCCCCTCTTTGTAGGTCTTGGGCAGTGAGGACTTGGGGTCCTGGGTCTTACAGGAAGGGTCAGAGCAGTGTCACGTTACCCAAAAAGCAAGGAAAATACGGGCTTATTTGTGCTTACTCAGGAATCTGTAGTGAACGCTGGACTTTTTTTTTTTTTTTTCACACAGAACATTCTTCAGGGTGTGGCTGGCATCTGTCTGTCTGTCAGCCCCATAGCACCTTCCTGCTGCATCAAAGCCTCTTTAAATTCTCAGTCTCTGATGGGCAGAATGCCCAGTAAGCAAGGGAAGAATGGGGTTATTCATGCTCATTTAACTAATCTGTGGTGATTAACCTGGAGTTTCACATGGTTTTAACAGATTACTCCTACAGATTGGTAAGTGAGCCCATGCTTACCTTGTTCACCTTGCTGACCCTGTACTCCCAACTCTGGGTGAGAGGCTGAGGAGGAGAACAGGCGATTACTATCTTCTTCCCTCTCCATCATGCTTCCCCGGCTCTAGGCTCTTCCCTTCTCCTGTCCAGTGGCTCTGAGTTCCTTTAGTCTTTTCTTGCCATTTTTGCGCATTTTCTTCCTCCCTCCCCAGCCAACCCCACACACCACGATGTTCCAGATGTTCCACTCCTTGTTCCAGATGTTGTCATGCATATAATGACTTATCATATATTCCTTCCAGACAGTTCTTCCCTTCATCTGTTCTAATGCAGTGTTCATGGTCTGTTCACTTTTTCCTCATTCTCTCTCTGACCCCCCCCATCTGTCCTATAACAATGGTGTTATGCAGTGTTTATCCTTTTGTGACTGAGATATTTCACTCAGCATAATGTCCTCCAGGTTCCCACATCTTGTGTAATGTTTTATGAGTTCCTTGTTTTTCAGAGCTGCATAGTATTCCATTGTGTGAATATACCATCGTTTTTCTATCTATTCCTTTATTAATAGGCACTTGGGTTCCTTCTATCTCTTTGCTTTTGTGAATAATGCCTTAATAAGCATGGGTATGCATATGTCTATTTGGGTTGTGGCTCTGGTTTCTTTAGGAT